CGCGGCCGGCGAGCCCGGCGCACAAAGGCGCCCAGCCCCTCGGGCGGGTGATGAGCGCACCGCAGCCCAGGCGCGGGCACCAGCTCCAGCCACCGCTCCTTGCACCTAGGGCGCTGGAGAAGACGCAAGGCGCGCCAGGGGCTAGTGGCTGAGACGCGGCCCGTGAACCCTGAGCTCGGGACTCGCCGCCCTCCGGGTCGGGCGCGGAGCTTCCGAGCCGCTAAAGCGCGGGCCTCAGCTCGTTCCTGGGATCCGAGTAGGAAGACGCTTCCCCACTTTCACCCGACCTCCAGCGCCCAAACGCCAACTTCTCTAAGAACGCTCAACTCCAGGCCACCCTGCCGGGCAGAGGGGGCGCTGCTGCTGGGCACCAGCGGTGAGGAAGCGCCCCTGGCCCCGGGGAGCGAGCCAGCATCTTCGGGGTCGCTCGGGCGCCCCTGAGTGGGCGGCGGCGGCAGACGCCTCTCCGGGGAGTCAAGGACCTGCCAGCGCCGGAGATTCCTCACAGGCAGGCAGGCGCTCGCCCTCTCTTTTATGGTGAGTATTCTCCAGCTTCTGGTGAGGGACGCCCTGGGGCGCGCGGGAGCCGGGAGCAGAGATCTGGCAGCGCAGGACCGCCAGCGGGCCGACCCTCGCCACAGCCCGCGCTCCTGGCATGGGTCGCGTCCTGATCCCGGGGAATTCCTCTCTGCTGGCTTATAGCAGTCGGAGTTGGTTGGTTTGCGCGCAGCCTTGGGGCGTTTGGGGCCGGCCGCTGGAGCCGCAGGTTCGAAGCCAGCTGCTTCTCTGCGAAATGGAGCCAGCACAAAAAAACGGCCGTCCCTCCCACCCCTCACCTGAGTTACCTTGCTTGGATTTGGGTCCAAGATCCGTTATTCACTGGCTGGATGACCTTGGGCAAGTTACCAAATCTCGGTTTCCTCATCCACTGGATGGGGATAATAATGGTACCCGTTTTATAAGGGATCTATGGGGTGGTGCTTGTGGGTACATAGATCTGTGTCTGGCACACAGGAAGCATTCAATCAAATGTTAGCTCGTATTATTTCAGCTGTATGAGCCCGAGAGTGCCATCCAACTTTCCGGAGCTGCAGCAGCTCCCTCGTCTATGTATGTATGTCATGGGGACCGTAAGTTCTAGGATCCTCTTCGTCGGGTGTGGGGGGATTCGAGGCCGTGAAAGTCAGGCTCCTGGCGCGCAGTAAGCGCTGGTGAAGTGGTGGCTGTTGTTACCGTTTATTCTGGACGTTGGTGTGGTGTGGCCGGTCGCCCGACCCGAGCGCGGCTCGGGGGCCAATTCATGGCCTTGCTTGGAGACAAACTTGGCGATGCTTAGAAGGGGAAGGGGTCGCAGGCTCCGCAAGTCACGAGCAAGGAGTTGGGGGTTGTGGTCTGGGATGGAGAGAGGAGGCCAGAGCCTGGAGCGCGGCAAATGTGTCAGTTCTGGTAGCGCAGGACTCGCCATGGCCCCGAGCCAGGAGGGACACGGAGCCCAGAACCTCTCCCTGGCGAGAGAAGGGGGGGGGGAGCGGGGGGAGCGGGGGTGGCTGCCCCCGCCTCCGGGATGGCAGAAGCGTTGGCTGTTGCAGACTGGAAGGGAGACGAGGGCACTTCTTTACCGCTGTGACGAGGAGGCGGTGGGCTCTTAGCTCTGGAGTTCAAATTCCGCCTCCACCACCCGCCCGCAGTGTGACCTTGGGCAAGTACTCTGATCTCTCTCAGCTCAGTTTCCTCCTCTTCGCCAATCTCTTCCCGGGGGAGGTTGGGTAGTGAAAGGAGGAGTTCTCTCCTCTCTAAGAATCTGAGCCCCATCCTCCCACCCACCTTCTGCCCCCCGCAATCTGATGAGCCTAAATCGGGAAGACGTGAGATGTTATCCCTGAGCCTCTGGGAAACTCTGTTAAAAGGAGAATTCGGGATCTGCCCACCCTCTTCCCTGCCAGTCACTACACCCTGCACCTGGGAAAGAGGAGATCAGTGCGCTTAATTTTCCCATCTTGGCGCCTCTACCCTCCAACCAAATCCTGCAGTTTCTGTCACTCAGACTGATGGGGGAATCCCTCCTTATCCCCTAAAGCCTTCATTTATTTTAAGTGCTGTTGATTAATGGAGTTAGTAGAAAGATAAAGTGTCAGTAGCATGATAAAAACATGCTTTACATGAGGGCATAGTCCTCTGAGACGTACTCTCCGACCGATTTCATTGTTTTTTTAACTTCCTTAAAGAGTAGTAATAAAAGGAATTTAAGCTAGCTTTGGGAAATATCAAACAAAATTCAACTTGCCAGCCGTTCCACTCAAATATCTCTCCAGTTTGTATTTCTATTTTATTTCAAAGACTGATGAATTCAATTATGTAAAAAGAAAATCTGTGGGGAAATGAAATCGCCATAAACAGCCAAAAGACATATGACAAGCTGGGGATAAAATCGCTACTCTTGTCACAAAGGGCTCGTCTCTTTAAGGCATAAAAGGTTAATCAAGTCTGCAAGCAAAAAACCAAAAACGGACAAAGACCGTAAACAGTTCACACACACAAAATGTAATCAAAATAACACTCAAGCATATGACAAGATGCTCTGCTTCGCTCAATAAGAAAAACGCAATTTGAAACTATAATAAGATACAATTTTTCACATAGCAGATCAAATAGTATTAGCCATTTATGAGAAACATCTTTTAAAAACATAAATAGATCAAATCCCTCCTGATTTCGAACCTCCTCCAGGGTGCCATGGAGTAAAATCTAGATGTCCCCAGGGCCCTCCAGGTCTGGTTACTGCACCCTCCACCCCGTTCTCACCCTTTTCCTCTCTCATTACCCCTGGATTTTTGGTTTTGCTCCAACACTCCAGGGACTTTTTCATTTCCTATTCTCCCTGCCTAGACTACTTTCCCCCTCCCCTAGCTTTTAAGACTGTCTCCTTCTCCTCATTTACGTAGGCCGGTCCTTGGGGGAGCTTCACTCCTATCCTAGGAAGTGGCTAAGGCTTGAGCCTCTGCAGATCCTCATCCCGTTGGGAAAACCCAGTATAATTCACCACATAGAAACTACTTAATTTTCCCTGAGTTATGTGGCCTGTTGTCATATAGCCAGGTTCTTAAAAGGTCCTTTCTCTGTTGGTATGAGAATGAAGCATCTTGAGCAGCACCCTAGCGCCCAGACTAGAACAAACTACTCCATGTGGAAAATCAAGGTGCTGGGAGGTGGGGGCTGGGACCTGGAGCAAAGTTACCAGAAGTCTCTGCCTTGTGTGTGTTTTAAAAATATAAGTATGCAAATGTGTGCACTTAACTTATATGAACATAATTCATCTTGGTAAGAAAAAAAGATCACAGCAAAAATTAAAACAGCAACATTTTTAATAAAACATGCTCCTTAAATAAGTCAACTAGTTTATCGGCTGTTGCTCATCTTAAGCAATAGGGATCTGTTCCAAGCTGTAGGAAAACAGTTGTCTGTGCTGAACTCTGTGGGAAAGAGGATGGCGAATCCACCTCAGATATCTTGAATCTTGTGGACCTTCAGGAGGACTTTCCAAGCAGTGTTGATGGCATGTGATTTTTGCTTCACATATTGAGTTTAGAACTTAATCCCCTTTTAAAATGTGTACTTTAATTATGAAAAAATGTCAAAAATACAAACTATACAAGAGGCGTAGAGTGTATATTTCTTCTTCAATCTGATAAGCGCAGCCGGAGGTAGCAGGTGGCGGCTGAGTGCTGGTAGGAGATAGAGGCTGAGGCTAGTTGGGCGCTGGCTTCACCAGCAAGAAATGCAACAGGGGGTGCAGGAGACAGTCGTGGGAATCTACAAGAATGAGAGAATCGACAACAAGAATGAGGACACAAGAGGATGGAGGGTGGCCACAGAGGGTGCCTGGCCCGCTGAGGGATGGGTAGGGACGAAAGAATGTCAGCTAGACAAAGGAAGGTGGGAAGGCTCCCAGGACACCAAGGTGTGTGGTGCCTGCAGGAGTCTGGTGTTCCTGGCCTGTCGTGGACCATGGTAAGTGACTGGGTGTGGGAGACATATGCAAGATTAGGTCTTGAGGACTTTTGTGTGCTAAGCTAAGGGGTGCAACTTGTCCGTGGAGAAGCCACCTGGAGAGTTGAAAGAGAAGGTAGGTGGGCAGCTTGGTCACATTTCTCCCTTGGCTGCGTGGAGAGTGCGTTGAGGGGCACAGACTATAGTCAGGGAAGCCCTGTTAGGAACCCCTTGCCGTAATGCAGGCAAGGGAAGCTGAAGACAGTGAGTGAGGGAGACAGAAGGAGCAGGTATAGGGCAGCACACAGACAGGGATCTGGCATGTCAGAGAGGGAATAGGCTAAGTTCTTCTCTGGGTGTACGGCTTCTGAGGTGCCAGTGGGACCCCAGTGTCTGACATCTGGAGAGGGTGGGCATGCCCACTAAGGGAGGCTTGTGGTAGAAAGAGGCCAGCCGGTTTTACAAGGTCATTTGAAGGAGCCCTATTCGGGGGTAGCCAGAGACTTCTAGGTAGGTGGGTCTGGTGCTGAGGAGAAAAACAGGTCTGGAGACCCAGTCTGGGAGAATCTACAAGGGCCAAAAATGTCAATCTTAAGAGAAGACACATGGAGAGAGAGGGGAGCAGAAATGGAAGATGGGACCCAAGGGGTGTTCCATTTCATGAAGCAGGCAAGGTGGACTCTGAAGCCAGGAGGTAGCGGAAAGATGCTGTGAGCCTTATACCTTCATGTGCTGGCATATGCAGAATGAAAGGCCCAGAGCTGCATCAAAGTCATCCACCTGACTGTGAAATGTCATTTATGGTACACCTGGAGCTCTGCCTTCTCCAGAAAAAGTGGGTTTTAATACAGCTAGTTGAGCCACAAAGACATCTCACCTATCAGCCACAAACTGTGAGATAGGCAGGTCACACAGAATTCTGGGGCCAAGTGGCTTCATCCCATCTGGCACTTCCTCCCTCCTCTCTCTCTGGGTCTCCCTGTCTCACTGCTCCCTCACCATCACCTCTTCTTCTAGTCCCATAGCCCAGTATCTCAAATATGATCCCAGGGACCCTTTGGGCTTCACAAAGGGACCTTCAGAAATCCCAGCAGGTCCTTATTATGATATGCTAGGTCAAGTATGAGACACGAATAAGTTCACTTTTCTTTCAAGCATCCTGAATTTTCAGACAGCCAGTTATACCAACTGGGCAGAGGTCAGCTTGGAAGATAAATGAGGGGCTAGACATGAAGATTATTATATTTTCTTCATAAGAGTCTTCATAGGATTTTCTTCATAGGGTCCCATTATGCAGCAGCCTCCCCGACCCCGTGTCCTCCAGCTTTGCTCCAGCTTGAGCCATGCTGGACCTCACAGAGGCCAGCTGTGCCTGAGGCAGCCCTCTGGGCACAGGGACAGCTGCAGCATTGATCAGGTCTGCCAGAAAGGTGTGTCTCTTTCAAATGACCTCGCAGAGGATGCTGGCCTGCTCACCTCCCAGCAAACCTCCTTCATCTCATCCCCTGCTCTTGCTGGCTGACAGCCTGAGCTTCCGCCTTGGGGGCTCC